AATACACGACCGTCAATATAGGCTAAGCTGGATACACTAGTGAATCATTCATAGAAACTTTTTGGCATAAACGCATAAGAATACCAATGTACAGACCAACAAAAAAAGTAAAAAAAAAAATTAAAATATTTGTTTGACACTTAACGTACGACGTAACTGTCAAAATTTCCCGCTCTATTTAATTGTTAAAAACTCGGTTGCCAAAGAAGAAAGAAAAAAATAAATAAAATAATAATTGTTAAAAAACAATACCGAAAGCCATCTGCATCGAGTATTTATGCACATCTTAATATAATACTGAAAGGAAAACAAGTAGTAGGCGGATTAATGACAATTTTTTTAAAATTGTCACATTTGTAACATTACCATAGCATTAAACCCGCTGCCTGCATAAAGAGGTTAGTACAATCACCCTCCCAAATACCTAACACATACATCTGTTCAAATCACAAAGCATTTCCAGATAAAAATAAGTAATTTATCAAATGTTGTAATTTAAAGTTTACATCTCAACCGCAGGACGTTGTTTTCAAAGTTTGAAAAATGACCTCGGTGCATATTTTTCACTCTAACTGTACCACGTTTTGTTCGCTCTAAAGTATAATGTGGCAGTTTTTTACACAAAAATCTATGCGCAAGTCTAGGTTTTATTCAAATTTGGGCCATCGGAGTTGTGAAACAAATGACTTCTGCCAAAGTGTCACAACGATGCAATTTTTCTAACACCAACCAGGTGGTTCTATCCATTATACATCGTATCGAAAATGACTAAAAAAAGTTACCAAGTCATTTTAAAATTGAAATCTTTTTTTTCAGTTCTGTCTCCGTCGCATCTTCTTTTTAAAATCAATAAATATTAAAATAAATAATAATTTAAAATTGTTATTTATACGAAAGCCAGACAGTATTTAAATTAAACGCGATTGCTGCTGGGGAAGTTGTTATTATTTTATAAGTATACCTATGAATGTATTTGGCCTTAGAATGCTAATTACAAATAAATAAATATTTTCATTGAAACGGAATATTCAACAGTTACCAAATAACACTTAATACACAGACAAACTTGTGTAAACACTTGAAGATTTAGTGGAAAATTTACCGCCAATGGCGATTCGGTATGTCAAAAAGGGTTCCAATTACCGACAGATAATAAAAAGTTCCTACTACTTTTTTATAGGCACGTGGCTACCAGGTGCGGTCCACAGACACAAATGTTGAGTCTACATGAACAAAACAATGGGTATTTTGACTCCAGCGGACACTACAGCACAGTTGCAATGTTTGAACAGTTGGTAACAATGGTCCCACTATTTTTCAATACGAGGGGAGTCCGTCGTTATAACATAATAATGTTGTAATATGTACGGATGGTGTCGGAAAAAATGGTTTCAGTTGCCTTTGTAAATACCACATTTTTGTTTGAGTGTTTGGTATCGGAGTTTTAGCATTTTACATTGTTCTTTCATAAATTACTTTTGTTACTATGCAGTGGCTCGATCATAGCATAATTTGAGAAATTCTTAGGGTCTCAATCGTAACTAATATTTTAAAGAAGTAGTTATAGACATAGAACAAAAATGAAATAGGATAAATAGGTAAATATTTTTTTAAACATTCTATTTAACTCAGTACGACATGAGTATTGAGTAAATCGAAAGACACATTTCAGATGTTCGGATCGATCGCACGAATATTCTTAGAAGCGCAACCCCCCGTGTGAATATGTAATCGAATCGCAAGCGGCGCCATGTCAACACTACACTAGCTTATTATACGTAACTTGAATTACATTTTCTTGAAAAACAGAACAGCTATTTTGTTAAGAGTCATCGATTTTAAAGTAATGACACTTAAAATCGACTAAATAGAAAAAAGTCGATTATACTTCTTTATAACGGACTTTTTAAATTCCAAAATAGGTTTTTTTATTTATATTGTAGGTAACATCTAGTTGCTTATCGACGATATTGACAAAATTGCAATCGCCATTCACATTTCGTTGAAACGATGTGGCACTGAATAAAGGCATATTCTATTCTGAACCACATTTGCACTTAAAAGTAAGATAATAACAGTGCTTTTAGTGATAATAGTTGTACCAAAGTACAAGATAACTCGTAGTGTACGCGGGAAATGCAACACCTGACACAATTGATAATTCTGTCATTCCCAGAACTTAAATGCCATTGCTTATGTATTTGATATAGTCTAGGTATTCATAATGTATTGTAATTAGCTACTCATGGTTAAAGAAGCGGTATTTAATAGTACTTCATAGGTAACGGCGACTCAATGGCGCCAAGTGCCGCCGTCAAGGCGCGTCGCATACGTGACTAATGTAACGATCCCGCCGGGATTGCGGGAGTCGATCCCGGGACTAGAAAACCTCCAATTTGACTTAAAGCTGCCATTTCATTTTGTGAAAGCATTTAAAAGGTTTTAGCAACACAATTAGAGCATTTTAATCCTTTTTGCATTGGCTCTGTCTAAAAAAATAACAATAGATATCCGTCGGGTTACGTAAAACCATTTTGGATAACAAAAACATTACGAGTCGACTAAAATTATTGAGTAATTTATTAAAAATAAAGTAGTTTAGAAATCTAATGGATTAATCGTACAACAGTATTGCACAGGCGTGCCCACGACGGCGCCATTCGTAATGTTTGTGAAAGTCGTAACATCACGACTTCTCATACATTAAGCTTAGAGCACCGTGCGAATGTGCTAGTGCGGACACGACAAATTAGTCTGATTTTTTTATCAAGTGACCGCTCATCAATTTCTCATTTCGTCCGGTGCAGTCACGTAAACGAAATCCTCTGTGATTACTACATCAGTACAGATGAGCACATCACTATTTTGTGGTCTGATTTTATCTTCTTCGTGTTAAGTGCATTGTGCTGTACCAAACGTTTTGTGACTCTAATTAATGTAGCACTAAAAGTAATGAAGACCTCAAGTCACGATATCATTAAAGATATACATATTTTTAAATCTTTATTCTAGTTTATGAAAACTTTACTCGACGGTGTTTTTAAATCCAATAAAAAGACTGTATTTGAAAAAACAAGCTTCTTTTCTTCGGGCGAGTCAGATTTCTGTGAAATTTGGCGCCAGATTGGTATCTAAACGCATGGTCGGGGTTTATCTGATGAGATCGACACCCATTCAAAGGCAAGAGGTCCACGGGCGGGCTTTTTGAGGGCGCTTCAACTCTTTGTTTTAACACCGCGCTGTGAAGGGCCGTAATGAGCTGTTCAGACGCTTACGGTCGAAGAGCCTTATTTTATTGTTCATCTGCAATGATATATTATCGGCGTCCCGAAAATTTACATACAAGTATTTCTCTGAACACAGGTTACGTATTAAACTTAGATACACCCGGCTTAACAAATAACGAAATAAAAATGTTCATTGATGTTACCAAAGCATAATAACTATGTGAAATGTTCAACGTAAACTGTTTCCAATCACGAGAATTCTAACGTCTCAAAAATATTCCTCGGCCCACCAACTATCTATTTTTCATTAGAGAGACACAAAGAAATTATCTATGACGATTAAAACCACGATCAAACGTAGGCGGTGCTATCTAAGTTCTATCCAATCTTTTTTATCGGTATAAAAACACCTGTAGTGTGAGAAGCTTCGTGAGCGCGACTTAGTCGAGTCACCATGTTTATTTACAATCTATTAGAATTCTATCGGTTGTAAGGCGTAACGATAGAGCATAGAATTGCCTGATTTTCTGTGATCGAACGGTAAAATATTTTGTTAAGTTGGAACGCCTCTCCGGCGCCGCGGCTACCCGATTATGAGCAATAAACTAATTCCGGTAGCACGGCCATTAAGAATGTACGATTATACGTATTAGTAAGTTTTCGCTTCACTAGCGTTCGCGGCATGTAAGGGCTACGGATGTCATTACTATTGTACTTCTAAAAAAGTAAATCTGTGACGTGACACGCATTTGACAGCTTTAATTGGCGCCAAATTACACAGTACTTTTTTTTAATTCGTTCAAATGTCTGTAGTAATTGATCATACGACTGTAAAATAAAGAAAACTTATTGAAAACTAAATATTAACTAATTTACTTCAAAAGATTTCGAAAATTGGAGGTGGAGCTAATTTGGCGTATCTTCAAATTATACCGCTAATAAAATATACTAATTTAAGATATCGATTAATTATGTTAATTCTTTATTTAATGGACTTCTTTTAAAAGTTAAAGTTTTAAGTGCAAGGCCGTTTTATTTGTAGTTAGAAACAGTTTCATTAAATATTGATGTTTGTATCGTAAGAATATTTATCTTACGAGCTAAATTAATAAATTAAATGGTTTCACATTTTCTTATTATAGTTGTTTTTTTTTCAATGTCGGATAATCTTTAAAGTTTATGCTACTCTATGAAAAGAATAAATTCAAATTATAACGGAACCTATAACATAGATAATAAAGAAGAAGGTAACCTCAAATTATAACAAAAAGTTTCTACCATTTCACTCGTTAATTACTTCTAAGTAAAACAAAATTGGAAAAACCATGATTTAAAAAAAATGTTAATCGTTTGTGTGGATATTAAAATTCGAATATTTTAGTATGGAATGCGGACCATGTAAAATAATATGATAAAATAACAATCGCTCCGCGCCTGCCCATATGGACTAAAACCTGTTCCTCGATATATAGGAGTTAATAAATACATGCATACCACACAATGTTGTTAGATACACATGAGATTACGATATTTTTATATACCTTAGGACTTTTAGAGATTGGCATACCTATTATTTATTTTAATGTACATAATTTATGATACCTAATTATTTAATTAATATGTTTACTGAGACTTTAGAAACAAGTTCCATATTCTCAAACTCATCTATTGAACAATCTAGGGAACTTTTAATTAATACTGTTCCAAATATTTACTAAGTCAAAGAAAATATTTACATACTTGAGAAAATTTTAACCCGCAATTTATAAATAGACCTATGTTACCATATCTACCGAAGCTAGGAATATTACATGTAAGTAACTAGTTTAATAAATTCTACCTTGACATTTAAAATCTTCCAATTTTATGTCAAAAAAGCGTTTACTTATCTTGTTATTTATCCGTGACTTCTCCTCTCATGTGCATTGGTGTGACTTGATGACGTCAGATACACAGGCGCCGGCGCCAAGCGACTGGCGCACAACCTTGTCCTATCCATACGATTTTATTAAAAAAAGTTGATATAACATGATTATATCTATATTTATCTATTTATATTTCTGTAAAACTAAAGATTTGGTATTTCCAATGAAAATTGATCTGTGCTTGATAAAAATCTATTTCTAATTGTGGTTGTTGGATGTTTCATCGTAATATGTAATTCTATACTGGCTGATATCAGGTGTCTGAATGCAATAACATATTATGCTACATTAATAAACGTGAAAGCGGAATGTTTTGCATTATAAATATGAAAAAAGCAATCAACTATTTCAAGCTAGGCCGTGTTTTTAAAACATAGAATTTCTTAACGACCTTCATTTAAAAAAGCTTCTTATTTTAAGCCATTTTTGCAAAAAAATTTCATTATTTCTAACCAGCTTTCGAGCATTATCACTGTAAATGTCCTCTTTATTCAAAAAACATTGATAAATAACGCATTAGGAACTTGTCTATATTAGCTAAACATTAAAATACTGGTTATTTAGCTTAGTTTTTTTTTTAATAAAAGAAAGAATTTAAGTTCAAATAAATTACTTGCTTATGGATCAGAAATTAATTTTTGATATTGATTACAATGTTGTAAAAATACGATGTTCTTTTTTCATTAATCTTTTGTTTTACTGGGTTTGTTGTACCTAAATAGTTTCAGGAACCTCCTATTCTAATTTTAGGATTAAAGTTCCATTCTAAAACCTTAGTAGGTGAGACAATTGCCTCACCTACGGCCTACTTTACGCACAAGTCACATCGTGGCTCCATAACGAGCGTCGGCGCCGTTTGTGCGCCTGTTCGCTTTTTGTTGGGCACGCTCAGCTTCCGCTCCTATCATAACTTGTACTAATAGGTTAAGTTCTAAAGTAACCGTTCAGAATTTTACTTAGCTTATTGACACTTTTTTGGTGCTAGATTATTTCTTTTGAATACGTAGGCATTTATCGGAACGATTGATGAAGTTATTGAATTAAATATATTATGGGGCGCCTAACGTAATATAACAATGATATAAAACTTTTCTACATTTCCATATCTGAATATTTTCTTTATGTAAGTTGAATTTTAAGAACTACATAACATAACAACATGTAGTTCTTTTTTAATTATTTTTTAATTATTTAATTTAATTTAATTTTAATTAATGTAATTTTAAGAACTCTTCAAACAAAACTAACATATTCTATCTATTTGTTTCAGATCGCATATTAGAGCGAGATGCCGGCTTCGTGTCAGGAGGCGATGATGACGACTCCTGCTCGGGACCAGCGCACTCTGATGATTCGGGGGTCCGGCTGGTGGAGACCGACTCGCGGGGCAAACGACCTCGCACGCCCACCCGTTTACAACCACCTAAGAAACGTATCCGATTGAATTCGAGAGAAGACCTACCGAGTCCAGAAAGCGATACATCTGCCAGTCCATTCAGACCCTGGTCCTTCACCGAGGAACCACAAAGAGAACCCCTATCTTTAGTCAAGAAAGAGACTAGTCTATTGAGACAGCGACGGAGGCCGCTAGAACCGCCTCCACCCCCAATTCCACCACCACCGGGCCCACCAAGAGTTCCTCCACACCCAGGCGTCGTAGAGCCTTACCAAGACAAAGCAAAGCCAAGGGAACAGAGGAATTACAAAAACATGACCCGGGAGAGAAGAATAGAAGCAAACGCGAGAGAGCGGACAAGAGTTCATACCATAAGTGCCGCTTTCGACACGTTGAGGCGATCAGTTCCTGCATACAGTCACAACCAGAAACTATCAAAGTTATCGGTGTTACGGATAGCGTGCGCGTACATTGCAGCGCTGTCTGCGGCGATAGACCCCGAAGCTGACTTATCGTCAGCAGTGGACCAAGTGACGCATACAATACACACCGAAGGGAAATTGAGAAAGAAGAAGGATGATGCGTGAAGCGTTATGGACTGAAGTGGCCGAATTAATTTTCTGTACAATCGTAATCGGTTTTTGGAATTTTCGCCGAACTTGATCTGTCGTCGAAGGTGATGAAGACAAGTGACAATAACTTACGAAGTTTTCCTAGTTCAGGGTGTGTTGATACTTTAGTAGATGTCATTCGTAATGTGAAAGCCAGAAGCCGATTATGGATACCGCGTTTCAATTAAAACCGTCCTGAGAAGCCTCTCTTTGCGCTATAAGTTAGTACAAAAACGACAATAATATTGGTAATGGAAAATTTAATGTATTAACTATGTATGTAGGTATTTATATTGGAATGTTTTAAAAGACATGTTTGTCGTATTCTTACGGGAATAGAAAATACATGCAGTAACTGGAAGTATAAGCCATTTATAAGCAAATGGTTAGAATTCTTCTGTCTGCATTGGCAAGATTACCCTAGATCTACAAACATTCTTTATTGTGAATCTCAAGCCTAGAATAGGTATCAATTCGACCTAATAATAAATTTTAGTTCGCATTTCTGTTACAATCAAAATCAATTTTATTATGCAAAATCATTAAGAATATTTTCATGTCAACATGAATGGCGCCACTGTAGATTTTTCTATTAGATGTTACAGGTTTGTACCTATACCAATTAGATTTAATTTCATTATACAATCGGCCCAGTACAAATTGTTATGTTCCTATTTCATCTCCGTTCATCTTTAACAGATCTCGGGTTTAAACGATTCCTACTAATTAATAAATAAATTAATATTAAACACAGTACTGGCATTATGCTGTAAGGTCATGTTCCGAATACATAGTAACGAAAAAAAAACATCTCATAGACAAGTAGTTTGACACATCCATTTTTTTAAAGTTTACCATTCCTCAGTCCAGTATTAAAAATAAGGAAAAAAATATCTAAAGTAAAATCAATTTGTGCAAAATTATGTATTTATGGCTTTAAACGATATATTTATTACAATCGAGTCAGTAATTTAAGTGAGAACTGTATAGTTTTATTTAGTTTAAGGAGAAATGTTGCATTTTGTAAATATTAGTTTTTAAAATGTAAATACTTAGGTATTTAGTGAGGGTCACTGTTTTGTTTGGTTCTCTTGGAAGTTCTTCAAGGCCTTCTTTTTTAATTGCGTTACAATTTTGCATTCTACAGATAATATTATGAGAGTAATATTATTTGTTTTGGCATTTTCATTCAACCTCCTTTTTCAGTGGTTTATTATGGAACATTTGTTTTTGTTGTTTATGGGAATTAAAATGCCTTGATACTGTATTGTGATATAATTATTGTAAATAATAAAATAGTTATAAGATAATACATCACATTCTGTTAAGTCTGACGTGGGAATATAAATTGACATTGACAGTTCTGACCGCTGTCAAAACTACCAGAAACATAACCTACATTTTTGTAATCTTCCATTTTATTTAAATCCATTGAGGGTTTTTTTATTCGTGAATAATATTCCAAAATCTACTATAACCGCTTTGGGTTTTGAACAAAATGAAAGACAAAATAATATCTTATTGTTAGTACAGTCAGCGATCAAAACAGTCACTTAAAGGGATACTTTTTATGAAATTTTGTTACTGACTGTACCTACTTACTTAACTTTAAATTAAAACATACCTACCTGTACAGATTCTGATGGTGCATTATTAATTGAAATACCTATATAATTAGCCATAAAAAAGGAAAATAAAAGAAAGTGAAGTACACAATTAAGTATTTTGTTTGATTTACCTATTTAAACCTGGTTGGAGAAGAAAAATACTGATTATTCCCAACACTTAGAAATATACTCATATTTAAAAATACAATGGAGTACACAGTACAGGACAAGATGGATAGATGAGGATGAGGAAGGCACTGAGAGGCAGAGGTGGATTAAACCTAGAGGGCGCCCTAGAGCAGCACCTCATATGCGCCCATATTTTTTTTAGGCGCCGCCATCACTCCGTGGGCTGTTGGGCAAGCATGTTTCAACTTTCAAGGCACCCTACTGTAACTTGGCAGTCTAGCCACTTCTCTAGTTTGTCTTAGGTATCCCTAATAAGGCTCTGCTGAGTGCTGGGAGGTGCAGTCCCATTTGACTATGTGGACTTAAAAGTAGGGTAAGAGAGACTGCCTCGTTGGCCGAGTGTTCGTAAGTGCGACTGCCGGGCAAGGGGTCTCGGGTTCGATTCCCGGGTCGGGCAAAGTATTATTGGGTTTTTAAAATATTCTCAGTAGTAGCACGGAGTCCGGAATTGTGTCCGGTATATGGCAATAGGCTCACTAACCTTATTACATGGGACTCATAACATAAATAGTGAAAAGTGGGTGTTACATTGTATAGTGGTATAAGGTGCACCTCTGCCTTTCGGGGATAAAAGGCGTGATGTTATGATATGTTATGTGTAATTAATCTATTTAGAGTTTAGACCCTCAGAGTGAACAATAAAATTCGAAAAAATTTAACAAGGACCAAACTAGGTAATGTTGTTGTAAAGTCAAAAGCGCAGCGGTCTTTCTTAAAGCCTCGGTTCAATTCCGAGGCTGAGTTCTTAGTTAGCTGGAACAAGAGGATTGATGATTCCCAAATTACTGTTAATTCCTAAATATAATAAGTTTTAAATATAAAAACAGAACAATCTCCCCAATTCCTGAATCCCAACGATCCTCAAACTCCTAATCCCCAAAAGGTCGGTAACGTACTTGTAACGCCTCTGGTGTTCCAGGTGTCCATGGGCAACGCCGATTGCTTACCATCAGGTGATCCGACTGCTCGTTTACCGGATAATGCCATAAAAAAATTCAACGTGGATACAACATAGGTACATGTCCAGATACAACTATTTATAACGTAGGTACCTAGTTGGAGTCATTAATTAGAGAGGGGATGGAACTGGCTAGAATATTTTCTAGTGTGAAAACCATGCACTGAATATTTTTTTGTTGTGGGGTAATAAAATTTGACAGCCATATTGACAGGATCAACAAGACTATATAGAAACGATATTAGTGCCATCTAACATAACGTCACGCCTTTTTTATCCCCGAAGGGGTTGGCAGAGGTGCATATTTCGGCAATTAATGTCACTGTGCAATGTAACACCCACTTTTCACTAATTATGTTATTAGTCCCATGTAATTGGGGGTGAGCCTATTGCCATATACCGGGCACATTTTCAGACTCCGTGCTACTATTGAGATTTTTAAAAACAGTAATACTTTGCCCGACCCGGGAATCAAACCCGAGACCCTTGCCCGGCAGTCGCACTTGCGACCACTCGGCCAACGAGACAGTCTACTGAGTGCCATCTAGAGAGCGCAAAATAGCATATTCAACCACTCGACTTATATGCAGTGACAATAAGGGCTGGTACCTTTATACCTACGCTTAATATTGACTTTGGAGCACGTGCCATGATATCGTGCGCCCCTAACCACCTGGGGCTTATAATAGGCGCTGTTGTATCACTGACAGATGTCAGGGTCCACCCTACTTCCTCTTCTACATGCAAATAGTATCAATATGATGATAACGGCGGTTGGGGTCCTGTGTAGAGATAATGTGGACAACAGTTTTGAATGTAGCTATAAAAAAAGGACTTGTAGAATCGTCAGTGTAGGTACAATGCATGCATTTATTTGTTAATTTACTACCACCGTTAGGTATTCTTGCCAATTAGGTTTTTTTTTAAACTTAGCCCCACACTAGGATTTTCTCCTGTGTCGTGGTTGCGTTTACAAACATACAAGTTCACATACACATGACACCCAGACCCGAAACAACAATCTGTAGATCACACAGCAGCCGGTTGCCCAGCCACCGCACCAACAGTGCAGTCATGTCAAAGTCATGAGTGTTCGAAACCTACCCACGGCAAGTACCAATGGGACATTTTCCGAGTTATATGTACCTACTTTCTAAGATTATTTAGACACCACTGACAAACGGTGAAGGAAAACATCGCGAGGAAATCTGGACGTAGAATTTCTAATTATTATAGGTTATTTTGAAATCGCCAACACGCATTGAGCAAGCGTGGTGGATACATGCTCAAATCTCAGTGTGAGAAGAGGCTTTACTCAGCAGTGGGCAAAAAATTAGTAGTATAAAATTAAATTGCAAGATGTAGTGACATCTTGCGGAGAATAGTTAAAATAATATAGGAGTGAATAGGTAGATGTTACAGCTATTGCCTCATAGATGGCGCTTACTATAATTTATAATATTGTATTGGTTTTAGCTTTCTTTAAAATAATTTGATAAATGTTATGATTAATTCTCATTAATTAAACGTATTGACTGATAAATCAGAGGTATAATTTTGTTTGCGATTGCCTGATGATTGAAAGGGGCGTTGTAACATTACAAAACCTTTCAGAATAGTGTTCTAGCGATTCTAGTTTTATCTTTAGACTCAAAGGTTCATCAAAGATTATAATTTTGTGCTATGAAATGTGTGTTAGAAATAAATATTAAGTGCACACAAAATTGAAACCTCTTTACTTACCATAAACAGAAACCATAAACAAATCGTAAAAAAGAAAAAATTTAATTGACAACAGATAATTTGATTATGGCGGGAAACAGACTAAATACGAACTGAATAAAACAAGAATTTGCAATTAGAAAAAATATTTATTTGAAAAAACGCAAGAATTAAGCTGTCCATTTGAGGCACCTCGTGTCTAAGTGTGTTCCCAAGCAGCGAACGCAACAGTAACGAGCTCCACAAGGTATGCAAGTGTAATTCGATGGAAAACCACATACAGCACAGAAATGTCGATCGGGAAATCTGAAAACCAAAATAGATTTAGTTAAATTTAAATTTAATATTAACTTTATTTATTACACACACAACATTACAGATTTAGGATCCAATGTGATAACAAAGTTTATAAAATCTAGCGACACCTTACACCATATTAAAGTTATAGTAACTAATAAAGTTGGATTATTTTACAGATATAACAAAAAAACAAACCTTGTATTAAACTAAATAAAATAACAAATAAATAGTGTTATTACTGTTTATCTGTAACACTTATTATATAACAGAATCTTTGTGAATTCACTCGGCTGGCAGGTAAAATATATATTTATTACATTAATAATAATACTTATTTATTACAATTAATGTATTACAAACATTAATTATATCTATTGTGCACCTCACTTATTTAAAATAGTTATGGGAAATACTAAAACGCGCTATTTGTGATATTTACCTAATAAATACCTAAACTATCTTGAACAATATTATTTATTGACTAAAGCGATGTTTATTAGTTTTAAAAATATTTACCATCTTTAGTTATTAGTTATTATTTTGGTAATACATTATTTTTTTATTATAGTACCTATCATAGTTAGATGCTCTTGATAAAGATATGGCAATAATCACTGAATCAGGGTTTAAAAAACTTAATTATTTAAAATTATATGGCTAGCTTAGCTTCATCTACATAATTTGTTTAAACAAATTCAATTGTTACTCACTTAGAAGGTGGCACTTGTGCAGACAGGTAGTTGGGCGGGTCAGGTCTAAAACTCGCATCTTCTTCGACTAACTGCGCAAATGTCTTACGAAATCGCATTTTATAGTACTCAGCACTTTTGGTCTTCTTCTTTCTGGTAGGCTTCTCGTTAGTTTCTGCGAATTTCGGCACCTTCTTCGACATAACCAGGTCAGCATGTGGGTCTTCATGGAAATTGTCTTGTTCGAGGGCCTCAACGGCTTTTCTAGCTCTGCGTTTCCTTGCCGCATCGTCTAGGATCTTCCTCCTCTCTGTTTCCCTATTACCTCTTCCGTGGGTAGCCATCTTTACAGTCCCTTGTCATGTACTGGTATACTAAGTTGGTCCATTAAATCATCCACTCGAGCTTGCAGAGTTTCCACTATATCTGCAGATATAAATAGATGTGTTTCATCCAGGTCTTGAAGAATAAACTTTCTGCCCAGAGCTAAGGTCTCGTCCAGGTGAAGAAGGAACTGTTTCATAGCCGGATCACTGTAATCATAATGTCAAAGAAAAGAGGTTTGAGTGCTGAAGAGAAGAAGATCAGGATGTTGGAGATATTCCATAACAGTAAGGATTTCTTTCAGTTAAAGGTATGATTCTTGATTTATTACTAAATTTATTATGATTATTTATTGAGTAAGATAAGTTATAACTAAACAAAAGCTATTTAAATACAAATTGTTTATCATACATACAAAACATCACGCCTTTTATCCCCAAAGGGGTAGGCAGAGGTGTGCATTATGTCACAGTACAATGTAACACCTACTTTTCACTATTTATGTTACGAGTCCCATGTAATAGGGGGTGAGCCTATTGCCATATACCGGGCACAGTTCCAGACTCCGTGCTACTACTGAGAATATTTAAAAAACCCAGTATTACTTTGCCCGACCCGGGAATCGAACCCGAGACCCCTTGCTCGGCAGTCGCAATTGCGACCACACGGCCAACGAGGCAGTCAAATTGTTTATCATCTTGAATTTCAATATCTGTCTATTTAATTGCAATAATAAACAATTTGAAATTTTTAATTATTCATATTGTTAATAGGAGTTAGAGAAAATAGCACCAAAAGAGAAGGGTATCACAATGCAATCAGTAAAAGAAGTAGTCCAAAACTTAGTAGATGATCATCTTGTTGACTCAGAGAAGATTGGTACTTCCATATACTTTTGGTCATTTCCTAGGTAAGATTATAATAAAATAAATTATTATACTGTTTAATATATAGATACTGTGTAAATATTTATAGGCATAGGGCCATAAATATTTTATTACATGTTTTAGTAAAGCTAAGAATGCTAAGAAGAGAAAAGTGCAGGATTTACAAAATGAAATAGATGAATGCACAAAGAAATTGAAAAAGACTGAAGATCTGATTGCAAATGAATCTGTATGTATCTCAAAGTATTTATTAGTGCAATATTAACCCGTAGCATACCAGAATACATACCAGACACAATATATATTCTATTGTGTTTCACATACCGGCACTCAAGAGGTTAAGCTAGCCTGTTAAGAATGGAATATAAAACAATTTTTTCAAAGATAATTTGTTTCAAGAAATTGACTTATGATTACACTGCGTTACACGATTTTGGTACCCGCGTAAGTGTTAGCTGGAATGAATAGCTAATGAGTCACAGATTAAATGTTCCAAACATATGTGGTATCTATCACGTCTAGTTTTCAAGGTACATGCCAAATTATTTTTTCTATTACCCTCACTTTAGGCGAAAACGAAATAGTTACCATTTTTGATGTGCTGTACTTTTATTATTTTGTTTTGTTTAGTTAGTCATTTTTATTCGATAACGTCGATATATTCGTACATATTTCTTTGGAAATCCATTATGAATACTGGACTAAGTGGTCGTCGCAACTGCTTAAATGCACCAAATAAGTTTTGTTATGTTTGCTTTATTTGTTTTTGTATATCGTGAAGTCACAAACAAAAAATGTTTCCAAATAAGTGAGAAGTACATATTTACTATATTTTGGACGTGCTATAAATCAAGATAAACCATGGATACCAAAGTTAAAACTCAAAGAAGGAATATTTGTAGGACCACAAATACGCACATTGATGAAAGACCCAAATTTTGAGAAAAAGGTTACTGACAAGGAACATGATGCCTGGTTATCGCTGAAAGCAGTTATTAAAGGGTTTTTAGGGAACCACAGGGCCGAAAATGCGAAAAACCTAGTTGACGACATGTTAGAAGCATATAAAAAGTTGGGTTGCAGAATGTCGTTAAAAATTCACTTCCTTCATTCTCACTTTTCTTTTTTCCCATCTAATCTTGGTGCAGTCAGTGATGAGCAAGGTGAGAGGTTCCACCAGGATGTAAAGAAGCTTGAAGAACGATGATGAAGAACGAACTATGCTAGGCGATTACTGCTGGCGTTTAAAACGAGAAGATCAGTCAAAGCACAAAAGAAAAAGTTAAAGTTTTGCGATCTTTTGTGTTAAAACTTTTTATAATGTTTTTTTTAACCTTAATGGTAAAATTAAACTTAGTTAATGTGAAAAAATCTGGTTGATTTAACTAATTTTCTTTAAAATATGTTTTAGCATTTAAATTTTTAGTAAAATTTGGCACATTCTTATGGGAGAAAAATGAGACGTGATGAATGGAAATTTTGTATGTATTTTTAATAAACTATAAGTATTCGTAAGAAAACATGACATTTCAAAACGGGTACTCAATTTTTTTTTTCATTTGTAACGCAGTGTTATTAATGACAGGTTGGAAGAGAAATCTGTGAGGAGAGGACTAAAATTCTATCAACATTGGAAAATCTTGAGACACAAGAACAGAAACTTAAAAAGGAATTACAAAAGTACAGGGACTCCGATCCAGAATACATGGCTCAGTTGAAAAAGGAAACTCAGGTATAATTTACAAAGAAGTTTATTATTAAATGTTGGTTAACCTATAATTGGCGACTGTATAAGCCTAATATATATTGCTACTTTCATTATCACTTAACTCGTTGAGTACCATCATTATAGACACAATTAAAGAACAATAGGTAGCGGTCACCGGCGATCGCTCGGTGTTTGACAGTTTAATACTATGTATACAGAAGCTGTTGGTATACCTATTTAAATAAATAAATAAATAATTGTTATTTATTATCTACCTTCACTGACTATAAAAAAAAAAAAAACTAGACTATAATTTAAATTTTGAAGTTTTAAAATTTGTCCTGTATGTAGAAAACAATATTTTGGCTTTAAAGTACCTTGGTAACAACAAAATATCTGCATCAGAAAACTTTAATTCTTAGAAATTATCAATTTTATTATTGAACCAATTTCAGGACTTAAAAACAGCCACAAATAGGTGGACAGAAAACATTTATATACTGAAATCTTATATAAAGAACAATTTTCAAATGGAGAATGATGTTATCGACCAGAGTTTCAACATCCCGGCAGATTTGGATTATATTGAAACATAAACTATTAACCAAAATGCTATTATAACCTTTTTACACAAAATATAACTATATTACTATTTCTCAACATCTTCACAGTTTGTTTACAACAGTAAGCATTTGATTGCTTACTGTGAAGATCACTTATTGACCAGGATGAAAGACCAAATACTTGAACTATTTGAATTAAATACAATATTGTTTGAAACTTTGTTTTGTTTACCTACCATTCGACGAGAACGCCTTTCATAACATTCACCATGGTTCATTTTTATAAAACAGCACTTGAATTACTTAACTAGATACTAATTTCCTATATTTACCTACGGTTATTCTTATTTAATAAAGAAACATTCCTATAACATCGATACAAAATACAATTGCGAAACGACTCACTCTACACAAAATCACAAAACTCGAGAGTCGAGATAATTCTAATCTAATTGACAGAAGTGAGAAGAGATAATATGACAGATGACAGTTCTGTTTTCTGTGATAGATTTAACTCAGTATTGCCGACAACTAAAAACTTGGTATTGCCAAATACAAAAGTAAGAATTAAAAAATATTTGTTATGTTTTAGCTACGGACCAGATTCATCAGAAAATAAATAGGGAGCCATTGGGTACCTACTTACATCATTATTAGATATCTTATTTTTTGCAGTAAACTTCAAAAACAAAGCCTTGAATCCGTCTGATGGTGATGGTGAGCGTTCACATCACAGATACCTATACCAATGAGCACGATGCCGAACTTGAAATAATTACTTACGGTTTAAAGAAGAACCATGACGTGGAGTACATTCCATAATTTGAATTTTTACAATATACATGTGATGTACATAGATCAAGTTATTTATTTTAAAAAATCTTATGTATGGCAACTTTACAAAGGTTTCTTTTTCTATTTATAGCCATACATACATTTATAAAAGTTAGTACCAAACAAAATTGTTATGAATCCTCAAGTTTGTGATTAAGTGATTGTTTCAAAGTTTTATTTCTATTACAAACTTACAGGTTAGTACCTAAATATTTTAATACTTACCTAAAGATAACAAATAAGTACGTATTTTTAGATTTCAAGGTCACATACTTTATCATTTGTTTGGAGCAAAAATATTTAAAGTTTTTTTATCGAAAATTTGCAAATGGCCTATAATTTTAAATGGTGAAGTTGTGATATCAGAGGCAAGACTGGGACCTTGGTTGATGTCTGGTTGACTCATGCCGGGGGTATTATTACCTACACTCATACAGTTTACGAAATCTTTAGGTATTTAATTAGGTAGATATAAGTACCTAGTTGGTTGATAAACATTACGAGTGCAATGTAACTAGGAATTTATCTGTTTGTATCTATGTAATCTTATACCTACATGTGGTTTTAAAACACTAGAACAATAGTCTGGTAGGTACCCGTATAATTATCGTTTCCCTGCAAGGAATGTATTTCAGCGGCCCGCGTAATAAAATCATCATTGCAAAATACCTATAGCTGGTGTTTTGTATGAAACAAATAGGTATCTTTTTTATTGTAGAGTGGTACTTGTTTGTAGTTGTTCTTTCATGATGTATAAGGTGTACGTACCCACACTCTGTACAATATGAATAATAACACATACCTAGATAGCGTAGAATTTGACACAAAATCCTGGACTTCCCTGGTTCGTGGGACTCAAAAGATAATAAACTCAAAAGGTAAACATGTTGCATCAATAGTAAAATAGAGCAGAGCGCTATCTATGTAAATATAATGTAGGTATCGCTAAATGTGTTGCTAAGCAAGTTCGCTACTTAATTCTTTTTTACTGGGTTTGTTATTGTTAAGTATGAGAAGATTGCAAGAGAGATATATTGCAAGAAAAATATAACAAAGAAGGGCAAATAAATTCCCAAGACTATACGAAATCCGCGGGGTCCGCTAGTTACAAATAAAAGGCATTATTTATTACGATTTGCTTATAAATCTAGGAGCTAGGAGTAGTTTATTTTCAATGTTATCTTTTCTAATGACTTTGACGAATGATTCATAAGACATCAAATTATACACACTATAATTTCAGCCTGCCGCACCTTGGCATTTAGAATTCATCTTGGAGCGTAATAACATAATACTTTAGGTAATCTTAGTTCACTGGTGAGTCACTGTATATTGTAACAGAGTTGAAACAGGAAAGTCGAGATTTTGATGACGTAGATTGAAGACCAACAAATTGAGTAGCTATACCAAGTTTACATTTATGTTGGTCACGATTCTCTAAATTATTTTGAAGTAGGCATTTCCCTTGATACCTAATTTTGTAGTTTAAGAATTAATCGTAATTACGTGCGTACACTTGGTTAATACTAGAAGAGTTTGAAGATGGATCGTTGTCCCAGGATAACAAAGATATTGAATCAAGTTTAGTCATTCCGTGTTTTGGAGTAGCTCTCTATGTAGGAACGTACTCAAGTATTTTTTACACTGCTATAATTGGCAATATTAAAACGTACGGCTCGCCAGACGGTAAACGGTCCACCTTAATACTTTATTACAGACTTTATTTCCAATGTTTAGAGACTACTTCTTGTGTGAAATTTTTAATTTTTTTTAAATGTTTTGAAAATTCATTATTGATTCTAAGTGGACATTTGCATACGGAGCAAGAAAGAATATAAGTATTTAATTGCATTGTATCGTATCTATTGTATTACATGCAACGACCACACTGGAATGTATGGTCGTTGATTAGGTACAAGGCATGGAATTAAATGCGCTCTCTTTAAGGTTACACTAGTCGATATTTTTTCCATAGAAAGTTCGGGGCGGTATTACTCCACAGTGTGAATTTGTATCTCCAAAATTAAACACGACAACGTTTTATCTTGTAATTACATTTGTCGGTACGGAAACAAAAATAAATAAAAAAAAAACGATTAAAAGGTTATGAGCCACCAAAGTTTTGTTTTTCATGACAATTTTACCGCAACTTTGGGTGTTAAAAAGTACCACTAATCGTGTAAAATCTCCAAACCGTAGACCGTACCGACACAGCACAATTACCAGAGAGTTCTATAAAATTTATTTGAAATTGATCTAAGCAGTGGTTTTTTCAAAAATCGCTATTTCCTAAAGCACTAAATCGTACTTTTATACGCACTCGTTTTACGATGAATTATCGTGCATTTCATTAGATAAAATTCCCCCGGCAGCGGCGCGGGGCGGAGGGAAGACGCTCACGCGTTTTTGCACAAATTATTGCACGACACGCGCTGTCGTGCAATCATTAGACTATTTATTTTCTATTGTTTTGGACTCGGTCGTCTTACAGCCGGTTTCAATAACCTATCGATCTGCAGATTTGCTTACTAGAGATAGAATTTTGACATGAGCTCCATACAAAAAGTGTCAAAAATCTATCTCTAGTAAGCAAATCTACAGATAGATAGGTTATTGAAACTGGACGTTAGTCTGCTGCTGTGGCCTACGTCGTTTGTATCGTATGTGTAGACTATTCTCCTTACGCTTATCTTACGACTGGAGCTTTGCGACCGGTGCGGTGGTGTGGTGTCGATAGGTAGGATAGGAGTAGGTCTATTACCTACACAAGATGCCCTTTTTACGATGACACGATCGTACCCTATTTATTAGGTAGGTTAAGCTATTATTCGCAGTACGTAAGTTGAACAAAAATATAATTGTTAGTTATCAACGAAGCCACGAGTGAGTACCTACCTACCTATATAAAAGCTTGTAAGTAAACTGTCCATAGGTATTATAGTGCGAGGTGTACGATACTTATATTATTTATAAATCGTAAAATCGATATACCTATACTAAACAATGTAAATAAATTGCAGTGTCAGTTTGTACCAAATATTAAAATACCTTACCTACATAGAATTTTTCATGCTCACACGGCTATTTGCACGATAAGTAGGTAAAAAAAACTACTTATTCCTTTGGACATAGGTACCTACGTATAACAAATAGAAAGACAGATAGACAGAAAAAACAAATAAATAGTTTTTAAACCAATTTTTTATTTATTTATTTTTGTATTTTTCCTATTTATTTTTCCGTCTGTCTGTCTTTCTATTTGTTCAGGTCAATGTTCAATTCGGCTAGACCGAATTTGATATTTTACTAGCAGGTACACTACGTTTACGTACGGTATGCTTTTTAGCCATCCTTCCTAAATAATACCTAAGTTATAATAATATAATAATAATATTCCACAACTATCACACAACTCTGTACCTACGCTGTCCAGTCCCAAAATAAGCAGAGCTTGTGTTATGTGTAGGTACCTACCTACTAGACAACAGATATACATACTTAGAGGTATATTTCTAAATATTTACATATTATTATAATTAGATAAAAAACACCCAGACAGAAGAAATGATCATGCTACCTAATTATAAATCAAACTTTACCTCTTTAGGTTCTTTATAATAAATTATTGTAGATAACCGCAAATAGGAATATTGATAATATCAACGGGCAACCGTCAAGCCGAATGTTTTCGCGCAAAATACATAGGTACAGAAGTCAATCTCATGTAGGTATGTACCTGCTTCACTGTTTATACCTACGTGCTCGAGCGCGCTTTGTATGTAGTTATACCATAGAACTAACTAGGTACCTTTATATTTTGTGGCTATCGCGCTCCGTGAGAACTCGATTGGGGTTGTCAACTATACTTTTTATTACGTTTCTTACTTTATTTTTAGCAAGTAAACACACTTTTAGGTAATTACCTACTTTTACGAAAACTAAATAAATACAACAAATATTGTAGGTACCTATTAGGTTTAGTAGGTACATAAAGTTATTGATACTTAGAAAAAAAAGTAACTGCTTACCTACAGAATTATATCCCTAGCCTTTCGTTATTCGTAGATTCTTCGGATATTGTGTTATCAACTTATCATAAAAAAAATTCAGTAATTACAATGCCCTGTGACAATAATTACTAAAATTCATGCGAGCATCACAAAATCGTAGCAGCGCGTACGACTTTACTACGAGTAAACACACAACAACACAGATATATGCACCGTTCAGTGACGTTTTGCTATGTTTGTGTGCGTGCGAACAATACGTCGTGCAAATAGATAGCGTCTAACTGCTCATCACTGGTACTATTTCTGTCGCACACGATGTTAGATGAGACAGCGCGCTTTTTGGCCACGCCCTTGATTGAGTTCGAGCCCGCGACTAGTTTAACCTTAACACGGGAAAAACTCGAAAAACAGTTTCAGATATTTACTTCTGCCTATCATTTTGGGGAAAAACAGGCGTCATAATAGGGGCA